TCAGATACGGCTCACATTGTACCTGATGATGAAAGACTGAATGCTTTCCCCCCAAGATCAGGAAAAAGACAAGAATGTTCATTCTTAACATTCTTGTTTGACATAACTCTGGAAGTCCTAGCCGGTGCAATAAAGAAATAAAAGGCAATAAAAGACATGCACAGATTGGGAAGGAGAAATAAAACAATTCTCTTTTGTAGATGACATTATTGTCTACATAGGAAGCCCAAGGAATCTACCAAAAGACCCCAAACAAACAAAATGCCTTTTGTACCTAATAAGTGAATGTAGCAAAGTCCCAGGTTCAAGAGAAACATAGAAAAATCAGCTGTATTTCTGTATGTTAGCAATGAACACAGTAACACCAAAATTAGAAATACAATACCATTTACAATTGCTCAAAAAAAAAAAGAAATACTTAGGTGTAAATCTAACAAAGCCTGTACAGGACCCTTACGCCAAAAACTATACAGCGATGATGAAAGAAACCAAAACAAATCTAAATAAATGTAGAGACATATAGTCGTCCCCCTTTATCCTCAGGGGATGTATTCAAAGCCCCCTCCCCTCAGTGGACCCCTGGAACCACAGATAGTACCGAACCCTATATATACTGTTTCTCCTATACATACATACCTATGATAAAGTATAATTTATACATTAGGCGTAGTAAGAGACTAACGACAATAACTAATAATAAAATAGAACAATTATAATACATACTATGATAAAAGTTATGTGAAAGTGGTCTCTCTCTCTTTCTGTTTCTCAAAATATCTTATATCCTAAGGCGCCCGGGCGGCTCAGTCGGTTATGTGTCAGACTTTGGCTCAGGTCATGATCTCACAGTTCGTGAGTTCGAGCCCTGCGTCGGGCTCTGCGCTGACAGCTCAGAGCCTGGAGCCTGCTTCAGATTCTGTGTCTCCCCCTCTTTCTGCCTCCCCCATACTTGTGCTCTCTTTCTCTCTCAAAAATAAAATAAAAGAAACAAAAAGAAATATCTTCTACCCTTCTTCTTGTGATGATATGAGATAATAAAACGCATGATGGGAAGAAGTGAGGTGAATGACGTAGGCCTTGTGATGTGGCATGAAACTACTATTGGCCTTCTGAGATACATCCGGAGGAGGCGCACCTGCTTCCAGACCGCGGATAACTCTGGGTAACCAAAACTGTGGAAAATGAAATCTCAGAGGAGTGGGGGATCTCCTGGTCCTTTAGTAATGGATTGGAAGACTCTACATAGCAAAGGTGTCAATTCATCCCAAATTGATATACAGGTTTAACACAACTCCTATCAAAGTCTGAGGAATACTTTTTTTGTACATATAGTTAAGATTATTCTAAAATGTACATGGAAAGGCAAAGGAATTAGAATAGTTAAAATAATTTGTAAAGAAAAATAACATGGGAGTCATCAGTCTGACCCATTAAATTTTTTTTAATGTTTGTTTTTGAAGGAGAGAGAGATAGAGCACGAGTGGGGAGGGGCAGACAGACAGACAGACAGACAGAATCTGAAGCAGGCTCCAGGCTCTGAGTTGTTAGCACAGAGCCTGACGCGGGCCTTGAACTCACAAACTGCAAGATCATGACCTGAGCCGAAGTCGGACACTTAACCGACTGAGCCACCCAGGCGCTCCAGTCTAACCAATTTTAAGTATCTAATTTACCATACAGCTACAGTAGTCAAGATTGTGAGATACTGGCAGAGGGACAGACACACTGATCAATGAGACAGAATAGAGAACCCAGAAATAGATCCAGGTAAATAAGCCAACCTGGCTTCTGATAAGGGTGAATGTACAATTCAATGGAGGAAAGGCGGCCTTTTAATAAATGGTGCTAGTTGGGGCACCTGGGTGGCTCAGTTGGTTGGGTGTCCAACTTTGGCTCAGGTCATGATCTCATGGTTTGTGGGTTTGAGCCCCACATCGGGCTCTGTGCTGGCAGCTCAGAGCCGGGAGCCTGCTTCAGATTCTGTGTCTCCCTCTCTCTCTGCCCCTCCCCCACTCATGCTCTGTTTCTTTCTGTCTCAATAATAAACAAACATAAAAAACAAAATTAACAAATGGTGCTAGAGCACCTGGACAACCATAAGCAAAAAGTTAATCCTGATCTAAGTTGCACATCTGACGTAGAAATTACCTGTATCACGGACTTAACTGTAAAACTGAAATCTATAAAACGTTTAGGAAAAAAGCATGATAGAACATCTCTGGGGTCTAGTCTGGGCATAGTTCTTAGAGTTGACAGTAAAAGCATGATCCAAAACGGGAAACCCTGATAAACTGGACTTCACCACAATTACAAACTTCTACGCTTCAGAAGGCCCTGTTAGGAGAACGACAAAACAAACTGCAACCTGGAAGAAAATATTTGCCATGCATCCAACAAAGGCCTGGGAGCTAGAATAAACAAGGAATCCTCAACACTCAAGTTAAAAAGCAAACAATCCAATTAGAACATGGGCAAAAGATGTGAACAGGGACTTCACTGAAGAAGATATACAGATGGCAAATGCAAATCAACACTGCGATGAGATGCCACTGCTCGCCTATCAGAATGGCCAAAATTAAAAATGGCAACACCACCAAATGCTGGTGAAGATGAAGAGAAACTGGAGCATTCATTCATCATTGGTAAGAACGTAATGGTCTAGCTATTCTGGGAAACAGTTTGGCAGTTTCTTAGAAACTTGCAAATGCAACTATCATACGACCCGGGAAATGCGCCTCTGGGCATTTATCCCAGAGAAATGAAGATGTAAATTCGGACAAAAATCAAAACGTGAATGTTTAGAGCACTTTTATCTGTAATAGTCAAAAAGCTGGAAACAATCCAGATGTCCTCCAACAGATATACTGTGGCACATCCATGCCAGGGAATACTACTCAGCAATAAAAAGGTGTAAATCAATAAATGCAGCAACCTGAATGAATCCCTAGAGGATTATGCTGTGTGCAAAGCCAATTAAAAATAAAGTTGCATACTGTATGATTCCATATATATATATAGCATCCGTGAAATGTCAAAATCCTAGAAACGGAGAACAGATCAGTGGTTATCAGGGGTTAAGGAGGGGGTGAGGGTAGAAAGTGGCTATGCCTTTAAAAGGGCAACATGAGGACCCCTACAGTGATGGAAATGTTCTGTATCTAGACTCGTATATAGCAATGTCAGTGTCAGGGTTGTGATACTGCAGTATAGTTTCCACAAGATGTTACTATGGGAAACTGGGTAAACATGGAATTTCTCTGTATTATTTCTCAAAACTCCATCTGAATCCATAATTCCTTCAAAATAAAAGGTTTAGTTAGCAAAAACTCTAGTTTAAAAACCCAAGGATATAAAAGGATATAGGCAATTACTATGTATTATAAAAAGCAGACTTGAGTATCTCAAGTCCAAAAAAATTTGAAATTACTATTAAGTCAAATTTTGGTTATGAATTGAGGAGTTGAAGGTAAAGAAATAGGTTTTCCTTTCTTTCCATTTCCAGGAGGGAAAAAAAAAACCTATGAAGATACAGACAAATCTATATAACTGAAATAAACCTCAGCTCTTAAAACTTTTAATTTTAAGAAGACTCCAAAAGAAATGCATTCCTTTATAGTTGTCTTTAAAATATTAGCTGGACTCCTCAGAAAAAATAGGGCATTTTTAATCAAAGTGCTTCCTTCACAGAATAGCTTATTCCAGAAGAGTGGGTCACAGTTGCAGTTAAAGGGGAGACAGGAAGAGATGGAGGGTTGAAGGCATTTGTGGTAGAAGGAATGAGGCTGTGGGGGGGAGGGGCATGAAGCTGGGACAGCTGGCCTAGGAGACACTGGCCAGGGCTTCACACCAGATCTCCTGGGGGGCCGTCGACTTCCTCACCCTGCATTCCAATCGCAGTTCTATCTCCTTTATTGCACTTCAAGTAAATCACATAATCTCTGTGCCTCAATTTCCTCCTCCTCAAAAGCGGAGATAAAAATTTCTACGTCCCGTCAAACAGGATATTTGCAAGGATAAGTATCTGTACAGCTTGGAAATGTTTGAAAGAAAGGTCCCAAGAAATAGTATCTGCAAATGGGGCTCATTTAGAACATTCAATTGAAAGTCTATTTTATATGAGGAAACATGCATAATGGAAGACAGTAATTTTGAAGGAGACTGGTGAAAGGGAAAGACAAAATGAATGAGATTTAAACCAAGTCAGTGGATCATGTGTATTTCCTCAGGTGTCCTCAGGTTACTGATGGCAAAATTCAGCACTGCCCAAGCCGCACGGTGCCCCAATCCACCAGCAAAACCACCTTCCTAGAATGGATTTTCCATAGCAGATGTTAACGGGTTGGAAAACTAAACAACTGAGAAGCTCAAATCTCACAAGACTGCAAATCCACTAGGGACCTGGGCAGTGGTCTTCATCATGACGCTGAAAAATGTTAAGAGCCTGGAAACAAGCAGCAACGCGACTCTTAAATTTCATTTTACCTGAAGCACTAATTGAATTTTGTCTGGTATTTTGTGACTCACTCAGGTCTGTCTGCCTGCATTTGAATCTAAGCTCTCTGGCTGCAAAAGTCACAAGTCGTACTCCTCTTTCTATGTCCCATAGTCCATAACTTTGCATGTAGTTGGCATTCTGCAAGTACTGAATTGAACACATGTTCACAAATATTATCCATTACGTCTAGCTTGAAGGAATATACTTAAGTTGTTCCAAACAAGAAGTTGAACCCCTGATTTTATTCATTTAGCCTCAGCCTTGTAACTTATTGAACAATGTTTTTTTATCAGTTACTCAAATTATCATAAGCTAGTAAATGGAAATTTTTACTGATCTGGAAAAATTTTAAAAAGATTTCAGAGATAAATTCTGAGCCCAGAAGGACATGGGGCAAGAAAAGGAAAAACTTTGAGCTTTGAGTGATATTGGGCATAATAGCCTGCCTCTTGTCAATAATTATTGGATTTTTAAAAAAAGTTTTAATTTTCTAATATCTACTCACCAGTATCCAGTCTTGACTTGATATGCTGATACCTTGGGTTTTGTGGTATTCTTTTAGTCAGATACTAAAAAATAAGAGAATTCACAAGTTAATCAGGTTAATGTAAAAATAAGGTTGACAGAGGTGGGAAAGAGTCAGGTACTTAAAAAAATAGGACAGATGCTAAAATTTTATCAAATTTAATGATTTTTTTAATGTTTATTTATTTATTTTGAGAGAGAGAGAGAGAGAGAGAATCCCGGGCAGGCTCTGCACTGTCAGCCCAGAGCCCTATGTAGGGGTTGAACTCACGTATCATGAGATCGTGACCTCAGCCAAACCAAGAGTCAGATGCATAACTGGCCTGAGCCACCCAGGCTTCCCCAAACTTTATATCAAATTTAAAGAAGGAAGGAGCCCTAGAGGTCCAACTGTCAGTCTAAGACTCTTCCCCACAGCATCTTCACAGATCAGGATGGTTATCTTATTTCTGTCAAAATATTTTTTTTTCAAAATAATAATAGCACTATATAATAATCATAGCACTATATAATTAGGGGGAAAAAAACCTCTTAAAAATTATTTGACACTGAGCCAAAACTAGTCTCCATCTCAGTTTCATCCAGTCCACTATCCCAACTCTGAGCGAGGCACCCTCCTCCCCTGCCTGAACAGAAATTGGTTCAAATAACTAAAGGCAGCTCTCTGGTCCTTGTTTTACTCTTAGTATGATGAGGCTACCTCCTCTGGAACCCCTAGAGATGTTCTCCCCATTTCCCCTGAAAAGTAGCACTTGGATCCAGACCTGAGCACCGTGCCCAGATGCTGCTAGGCCAGGACCCGGTTTGGCAATGCTCCCCTGCTGCCTGCCTGGGTCTGAGGCTCCACAGGTGTCACTATGATGGCATCTGCTCTCGGGGCCGCCAAGGCTCATCACGGGCCCAGGGTAAGTTTGTGGTCAGCAAAGAATGCCTATGTCAGGTCTCCCTTGTCCTGTACTCTGGGAGGGAACTCTAAATCCAAGCACAAGATTTTCACCCTTATTAAGTTTCAGTGGCATTTGGGAAAGCCATCCAAGTGAGGGAGGGCTAGTGAATCGACATTTTAAGATCTAGCTTTCCCGGGACACCGGGGTGGCCTCAGTTGGCAAAGCCTCTGACTCTTGGTTTCACTCAGGTCATGATCTCACAGATTGTGGGCTCAAGCCGCACATCAGGCAAAGTGCTGACAGCGTGGAGCCTGCTTGGGATTCTCTCGCTCTCCCTCTCTCTGCACCTCCCCTGCTCACTTGCTCTCTCTCTCAAAATAAATAAATAAACATTAAAAAAATAAAAAGATCTAGCTTTCTTGCTCAGGCTTTTTTCTGGCGAACAGGTATGAAAATTATATGTTCAGTCACAGGTAGTTGCAGAACATGAAACTAAAACTGAGTTAATACCTTTCTGGCTTCATCTTCTGCCACTCTCACACAGGGCCCCATGCTGATGTGGCCCGAGTGTTCCCCTAATTTGCTGCACTCACTCAGGTCTCCAGGCCAAGCAAATGTCTGCCTAGAACACCTTTCCTCGACTTGTCCTTGGGCAAAACGTTCCAAAACCTTACTTCCTCTGTAAGGTGTCTAACGTGGAATTGGGCATTTCTTCTCCCAGGTTCCCACAGTACCCTGTAACACTGCTCACACCCCGAGCTTCTCTAGATTTCCTTGGAGGCAGGGATGATGACCACTCCTATCTGTGTATGCCCAGGACCTAGTACATGGTAGGTACATTTACAGATATTCAGTCAAAAAATGAATATCTAGAATGCAGAGTATATTATAGTAACTACCTGGTTTGGGACCCCAAACTTTATCATTACTTTTTGAAATTGCTTTTATGTATTTATTTTTTTAAGTAATCTCTACAACCCAGTGCAGGGCTTGAACTCATGACCCCAAGACTAAGAGTTGCGTGCTCTACCAACTGAAGAAAAAAAAGTCAGGTGAGAGCTAAAATTTAAAACCCCTATCATATGCTCTTGAAAACACAGTTAACTACAGCATGTCCTGCTGGCCAGAGTTCTGGATTTCAGAGGCCAGGAAGAATTTTGAAGAACTGGGGGCACCTATAGAGAATGATCAACTTCTAATTTTGCCAAGAAAATATATTTTATGTATTCTTTTTTTTTAAATGTTTACTTTTTTATTTTGAGAGAGCACACACGTGTGTGTGTGCAGAAGAGGAACAGAGAAAGAGGGAGAGAGAGAATCCTAAGTAGGCTCTGTGCTGTCAGCAAGGGCCCAACATGGGGCTCAATCCCATGAACCAAAATCAAAAGTCAGATGCTTCATCAACTAAGCCATCCAGATGCCCCAAGAAAGGACATTAAAAAAAAAAATTTTTTTTAACTTTATTTATTTTGAGAGAGAGAGAACAAAAAAGCATGAGTGGGGGAAGGGCAGAGACAGAAAAGAGAATCCCAAGCAGGCTCTGCACTGCCACTGTGGAGCTGATGTAGGGCTCAAACCCACAAAATCAGGAGGTCATGACCTGAGCCAAAACCAAGAGTCGGACGCTCAACTGACTGAGCCACCCAGGCGCCCTCCAAGAAAGGGCATTTTATAAAAAAAAGTGCAAAACCTCATAACAACCATCTTCCATTTCAAAACCTAAAAAATAAGAAAGGAAAAAAGAAACCCCAGAATAAAAAGATTGGTCCTTTATTGTTATTTAAAAAAAAAAAACAAAACTCATGACATTGTTTCTTGTTTTCATTTCACTCCAGGCAAGTAAAACCTTTGTCCTGAACATTTAGCATTGAGCCTCAGAGGTGTGTGTGGAACCTCTAAACTTTTTCATCCTTAGAGAAAGGCTAGAAAGCCTCTATCTCCCATCTGATCAGTAATCTGCTGTCTTTAATTTTTTTTATAGTTTATTTATTTATTTTTGAGAGAGAGAGAGAGAGAGAGAGAGAGAGAGAGAGACAGAGAGACAGAGCATGAGTGGGGGAGGGACAGAGAGAGAGAGGGAGACACAGAATACAAAACAGGCTCCGGGCTCTGAGCCGTCAGCACAGAGCTCAACGCGGGGCTTGAGCTCACGAACCGTGAGATTGTGACCTAAGTCGAAGTCGGAAGCTTAATGACTGAGCCACCCAGGTGCCCTGGTAACCTGCAGTCTTTTAGAGAAACTGCCTATAATACCAATTCCAACACCTTTCTAAAGATGAAGATGGAGAAGATTCTTAAGTGAGAGAAAGGGAATATTTAAAGACTAAAAAGGGGAACTTTAGGATAAGATCCCCCAGAAGACAATATCACTGCAAAGTAAAACACCAAGAAAGCAAACCATAAAACAGGGAAAACATGTGCCTGGTAAACTGAGTCAAGAAAAGCTAATAGTAGAATTCAGTTATCTCAGGCTAAGGGAATTTCTTTTTTCTTTTTTGTACTCTGTATTTTTATAATTTCTATATGCTATTTCCTGTTTTTACTTTTGTTTTGTTTTGTTTTCCACTAGTTTCCTAGCAAAGCGTCTTTTGAAAAACTCCAGGCTAGTCTCTGCTGAACCAAAGGGATTTGTCCATACCTAAGCCAACATAGCTAAGAAGTGAGGGTGTCTCTGGGGACCAGGTGTGGTGGCAGCAGAATGATGGGGGGTGGGGGAGAGTGTAGACAGCTGCAGTCGCTGGGCCCCTCCCGCCCCCGGTTTTCCCTTACATAGACTAATGAGAAATCCATATGCTGCAGTAGAAAAATGTAGTGTCTCTTTTCCATTTTCCCAATTTGGTCCAACTTCTCGTTCCTGGCTTTTGAGTGCCAACCACAACGTAAAACTTTGTGCTTCACTCTAAACAGACCACTGCAGATTTTATGGAACTGCCATACTTTTTTCCTTAAAATTCTTGCTTTTGGGGGTGGACTGTTTCTTGACCTAGTGACCAAGTGGCTTTTTTTTTTTTTTTCCAATTACATAAACAGGATGGAATGGTGGAAAGAGAAAGAGCTGAGAAAAGAAGCTCTTTCAAGAAGGACTATTCATTCATTTGACAAAGACTTATTGAGCACCAGCTCTTCTGTAGACATTTACTGGGTGTCCACTAGGCATGAGCCACTGTGCGGTGGACACAGAGCCCTCTAGCTCTCAGCGATCCTGAGAAGAAAGACAAGTGAACCAACAGATTCCACGCTGCATGGTGAACAAGGAGAGGAAGCATGTAAGAGAGCGGGCCACGAAATCCTGACTAAAAGAGTCAAGAACTGTGTCCTGAGCCATGACTTCCAGGCTGAAATCCGAGGGCCAAGAAAATTGGTCAAGCTAAAGGAGCAGTAGGTGGAAGCTGCAGGGTTTCTGGTAACTGGTAGACCTGGAGCATAGGGGCAATATGAGGTCAGATGAGGCTGAAGAAGCAGGGCGGGGCAATTCATAAAGGGTCTTGTGCTTGTCCCATGCTAAGGGACCTGGATTTTCCCCCCTGCAGATGATTATCCTTAAATGGGCAATTTTGCTCCCCCTGCTCCCGGGAACGACTGTCAATCTCTGAACACCTTTTAGGTGGGTGAGGCTAGGGTGGGGATGCTACTGGTATCCAGTGAGTGGAAGCCAGGGAAGCTGCGAAATATCCTACAATGACAGTCCCCCACGGCAAAGAATTAGCTGGCCCAAAATGTCTATAGTGCTAAAGTTGAGAAACCCTGGTGTAGACGATTGGAGAGTTACTGAAGAAAGTAAGAAGAAGTGATGGTATTATATTGCCATTTTAGAAAGTTCATTCTGGCAGCATTCTGGAGAACTAACAGAATCATAGTCAAGGATGGAGGCACAAAGATCAAGTAAGAGGTAGTTGTGCTAAAAAGATCCATGATGCTAAGACAGTGGCCGTAGAGATGAGGAAGAGGAGATGGCTTCAAGATGTAAAATCAGTAAGATCGAAAACTGCCATATATAACAGGGGAAGGACAGTGTTACCATTCCCCAAAAAAGGGAACTGAGGAGGAAGCATACACTGGAAAACAGGATGTTTTTCACGTTGAGGCATGTTGAGCGTGTGGTATCTGTGGGTTATCCAAAATGGAAACGGTGAGCTGGCTATTTGGGTTCTGGAGAT